CAGTGATCACTTCATTATTAAGTAGTGTATTGTTTAGCCTCCATGTGTTTGTATTTTTTACAGGTCTTTTCCTGTAATTGATATCTAGTCTCATGGCGTTGTGGTCAGAAAAGATACTTGATACAATTTCAATTTTCTTAAATTTACCAAGGCTTGATTTGTGACCCAAGATATGATCTATCTTGGAGAATGTTCAATGAGCACTTGAGAAAAATGTGTATTCTGTTGATTTTGGATGGAGTGTCCTATAAATATCAATTAAGTCCATCTTGTTTAATGTATCATTTAAAGCTTGTGTTTCCTTATTTATTTTCATTTTGGATGATCTGTCCATGGGTGAAAGTGGGGTGTTAAAGTCCCCTACTATGAATGTGTTACTGTCGATCTCCCCTTTTTTTTTTTTTTTCGATCTCCCCTTTTACGGCTGTTAGTATTTGCCTTATGTATTGAAGTGCTCCTATGTTGGGTGCATAAATATTTATGTTATATCTTCTTCTTGGATCAATCCCTTGATCATTATGTAGTGTCCTTCTTTGTCTCTTTTAATAGTCCTTATTTTAAAGTCTATTTTGTCTGATATGAGAATTGCTACTCCAGCTTTCTTTTGGTTTCCATTTGCATGGAATATCTTTTTCCATCCCCTTACTTTCAGTCTGTATGTGTCTCTAGGTCTGAAGTGGGTCTCTTGTAGACAGCATATATAAGGGTCTTGTTTTTGTATCCATTCAGCCAATCTGTGTCTTTTGGTGGGAGCATTTAGTACATTTACATTTAAGGTAATTATCGATATGTATGTTCCTATTCCCATTTTCTAAATTGTTTTGGGTTCATTATTATAGGTCTTTTCCTTCTCTTGTGTTTCTTGTCTAGAGAAGTTCCTTTAGCATTTGTTGTAAAGCTGGTTTGGTGGTGCTGAACTCTCTCAGCTTTTGCTTGTCTGTAAAGGTTTTAATTTCTCCATCAAATCTGAATGAGATCCTTGCTGGGTAGAGTAGTCTTGGTTGCAGGTTTTTCTCCTTCAAAGGCCCTCTTAACTAAAAATATCACCCTCCACTTCTCCCCCTCATTCCCATGATGCCTGAAATTCCAGAGAGTAGTTCCCAGAAATCATAATCATTTTGACTGTATTAAGGCATCGGGCTACTTGGGAGGGTCAACAGATAATTGGGACTTTGTTGAACTGGATATCCAATTGGGACCCACAGCCAATTGTAGGAAGGTCTGGAGCCGGGGTCCCCAGGGACTGGGAAATCCAGGACAGTGAGTCATCCTTGACACAAGGGGGCGGGAGAGAGCAATGGTGATCTGGGCGAGAACCCTGAAACAGAGCCTGGGATGGGGAAGTGCCTCTGCTTGGGATCAGCTGGGCAGTCTAAGGCAAAGGGGCTTCTAGCCTGAGAGGTCAGAGTGTAATTCCTGGGTCCTCCACTTATGGATTCTAAGGATGATCTTGGGCAATTTTCTTCAACTCTCTGCACCCATTGTCTACCTGTAAAATGGGAATTTTAAGACCTTTAAGACTCAAAAGGTTGCAGTGAGGAATAAATGTAACTCATGCCTATCAGAGGCTTAGCATGGTAACTAACACATGGCGGCATGTGCTCAAGAAGTAAGTGCGGTTCTGAGGGTTATGATTCAGATTTTGCTGCCCTCCATGGCTCGCAGAAGGCTTAACTTCACAGCAGGTTTTCTGCCTCCTCCTTGTGGATCCCTCTGTGTGAGAGCAGGATCTCTCTCCTAGCTGCTGGAACACCCCATTGGTACCTCTTTTGGGAACTTACTGCTTGCTGCCCTGTGTTTGCCCCCATGGAGGAATACCTGAAAACACTTTATCAGTTATTTTATAATCTAGTGTTTCACAGCCTTTTGTCAAAACGGTCCAACTAGTTAATCTACAGGTTAAAGGGAACATAATATAGGATGTAAAGTCACCACTGCATTTGGTCTAATTGCTGTTCGGTTGTGTTGTTCAGGATTTTCAGCAATGTCTATCACAGGCTATTGGGACAGAGCAGCAAACGCTCTTTGAGAAGCAACTTGACTGGCCTGGACAGAAGACCAGATTCAAAATTGTAGATTTCAGTTCAATGAGTGGATTGATGTTCATGGAAAGGGAGAGAGAAACCTAATATCATAATTATTGCAGCAAGAAGAATCAGAAGGTTAGATTGAATCATATGAAACTGCCATGTTGGTAGATCAAAAATGGTCAAGTACAGGTCTTTTCAAATGATTCAACCTTCACAGTTCTTGTAGAAATCTAATCATCCAGGCAACATATCCATAGGCTATAACTTATGACAAGATCTAATGCGACATGAGAGAAAGGGTACCATGGACTTTCCCCTATTTTTTCTGTGACTCAACATCTGTCAACCAACTTCCCATCACAGCTGAGGTAGCATTTTGGAAGCCCAACTGAGGAGCAAGTGTGACTCATACCTGTGGACGCACCAGATGGGTAATTGTATCCATGGCAAACGAAGGGGAGAGGGCTGTGATGTTCTGGAGCAGAATGCCCCAAGGTGGTAATACTTTTTTTTTTTTTTGCTTGTTGGCATCTACTAGGCATGTAGACCCCAGATGTCATAAAACGAAATACAGATTCCAAGGGAAGTTCTATACGTCAATAACACTGTCTCTTCTTAAATCCCTTCTTCCTTGCTCTCTCCCATTCTTTGCCTGGAATTTGATTTCTATGAGGTTTTTGCTATCAGTAACTGTGGAAGCCATTCCTAGCTATTTCTTTGCCCCTCATCCCTTCAGCTCCAGCCGCAGGCCTTACTGCTGCTAGAGTGTGCCAGCTTGACCTCTCTTCAGGGCCTTTGTACAGGCCCCCCCTGCCTGTACTGCGGTCCCCACATGTCTGCCTGGCTCCCTCACTCCCTGCAGGTACTTGTTCAGAAGTCTCCTTCTCGGAGTGGTCTTCCCTAAGTATTGATGTTTAGAATTATATTGCTTAGTCCTCTTTGCAAATTTTTCTCCATTGCACATTTTTTTTGAATTTTATTTTTTTTTTTATACAGCAGGTTCTTACTAGTTATCCATTTTATACACATTAGTATTTATATGTCAATCCCAATCTCCCAATTCATCACACCACCACCCCGCCGCTTTCCCCCCTTGGTGTCCATACGTTTGTTCTCTACATCTGTGTCTCTATTTCTGCCCTGCAAACCGGTTCATCTGTGCTATTTTTCTAGGTTCCACGTATATGCGTTAATATACAATATTTGTCTTTCTCTTTCTGACTTACTTCACTCTGTATGACAGTCTCTAGATCCATTGCACTTTTTAAACAACATGTTATATGTATTTATTTTATATTGTCTGCCTTCCTCCTCTCCTCCCGTTAGAATGTAGGCTCCAGAAGGGCAGACATTTTTATCTGTTTTGTCTGTGGTGTGTTCAGGGCCTGGAACAGCGCCTGGCACAGAGGCGGTACTCACATGTTTGTTGACTACTCAGATGGAGACTAAAAAAGTGTGAGAACTAATGTTCCTGACTTGCTCTTCCTTTAGCCTCCACCTTAAAACAGTTGTACATCTGCAAAACCTTTCTAGAGGTGGAGAAATAGAACCGTTTGCAAAATCGGTTGCAGATTCAACCATATTACACCTTTTGCAGACTCCAGGCTGGATGTAAATTAGATTTCAGCTCTGCTCCCTTTATGAAAAGTGTTTTTTAAAGTATAAGCTCCTGGGAATTCCCTGGTGGTCCAGTGGTTAGGACTCGGTGCTTTCACTGCTGGGGCCCCAGGTTGGATCCTTGGTCAGGGAACTAAGATCCCACAGGCCGTGTGGTGAGGCCAAAATAATTTTTTTAAATTAAGTATAAGTTCAAGTTAAATAGATTCATACTCATTCCAGCATACTTAATTGTTTTGAAGCAGAGAAATAAAGTGTCTTTCCAACAATTTAACTCACAAATATTTACGAAGCACCTACCATAGGCTAGGCTCCCTATGCTAGGCCTTGTAGGAAATACAGAGGGAAGAAAGTAAGTCCCAGTTCTTTTTTTTTTTTAAAGCTTTTTTTTTTGTATTTATTTAGTTTTGGCTGCATCGGGTCTTAGTTGTGGCATGTGGGGCGGGATCTTTTTGTTGCGGTGCACAGGCTTCTCTCTAGTTGTGGTGCGCGGGCTCAGTAGTTGCGGTGTGCAGGCTTAGTTGCCCTGCAGTATGTGGGATCTTAGTTCCCCAACCAGGGATGGAACCTGTGTCCCCTGCATTGGAAGGCGGATTCTTAACCACTGAACCACCAGGGAAGTCCTGTCCCAGTTCTTAAGTACCTTAGGATTGAGAAGAGGGTAGGAGGTGAACAAAGACAAAGAGAATAGAAGGCAGAATATGGCAGCTGTTGTTCTGGGGATAGAATTTGTGCTTCTGCTTTACCCTGGCTCTTGTCTTCATAAGAACCAAGACTTCTATGATTATCTTATGTCCAACCTCAGAGGTTTCCACTGTGCTGCCTCCCTACCCACACAGGAAGGGAAAGGGGTGGGAAATAAAAGGTCAAAGCAGTGCAGAGGGACACTGGGACCCTTACGCTCTGCCCAGGCCTGGGGGAGACCAGCCTCCATCTTGCCCAGCACCGCAGCTGACATGCAGGATACAACCTCCAGGGAGGGCCCACGGGGCAGGGGTGCCTGCTCTGAGCCCTGGGGTAATATCCCAGGGATATTTCTGGCTCCCACATATCTCTCCCTTCTCCACTGCACTAAAAACTTCATCAGTTAGTTGTTGCCAATATAGGATAACTCCCAAGGAGGGAATTATCATACTCCTTTTGTATGCAGTAGGTACTCCACAGATATCTGTATATAAATGGGCTTACATCACAGGAACCTCCTGGCGACTCAGTGATGCCATGGCAGGCCTGTGCAGTGATGTATTCTGGGGTAGAAGATGTTTCCAGTCATGCCCCCTGTCATGTCACCTGGGCACCCACCTCCGCATCCCCATGTCAACCCCTCCCTTCCCGCCTGCACGTGTATTCCAGGGTTTCCACACTTACCAGAGGATGATTGGCTGTGAGTTACTGGAGGATGGAAACACCACGGGGTTTCTCCAATATGCATATGACGGACAGGATTTCATTATCTTCAGTAAAAATACCCTCTCCTGGATGGCTATGGATAATGTGGCTCACATCACCAAGCAGGCATGGGAGGCCAGTCAGCATGAGCTACAATATCAAAAGAATTGGCTGGAAGAAGAATGTATTGCCTGGTTAAAGAGATTTCTGGAGTATGGGAAAGGTACCCTACAAAGGACAGGTAAAGAGGAGGGAGAACACCTTGTCCCCATATCCTCAGAACCCATGGTTTTATACATAACTTCCTCTCATCTAAGTTATAGCGACCCTATTCTGAAATCCATTTTGTTACTATCATGGTCTGTAACTCTCCATGAAAACTTTCCCTAGTTATTTGACAACGTTCAGCAGTTCTCGTGGGCTCTAGAGCGCAGGCTCAGTAGTTACGGCACATGGGCTTAGTTGCTCTACTGCATGTGGGATCTTCCTGGATCAGGGCTCGAACCTGTGTCCCCTGCATTGGCAGGCGGATTCTTAACCACTGCACCACCAGATAAGCCCCAACCATCTTAATTTTAATGGGTGCAGGTAACAGAAAACTACTCAAACTGGCTTTAGCACAAAGAATTTGTTGTTGTTGGCAAACCAGGGTTCTGGGTCATTCTTGGTTTTAGATGTTTCCTGCAAAGAAGAAAATTAATTGGGAAATGCAGTTGCTGAGTTCTAATACTGTGTACTCAGTACATAAGATACTTCTCTTTAACTTGAACTTCTTCCTAGAGCCCCCACTGGTCAGAGTAAATCACAAAGAAATTTTCCAGAGATTGCAACTCTTTACTGCAGAGCTCACGGCTTTTACCCCCCAGAAATTTCCACGATCTGGATAAAAAAATGGGGAAGAAATTGTCCAAGAAATGGATTATGGAGACCTTCCTCCCGGTGGGGATGGGACCTATCAGACATGGGTGTCAGTTGAGCTGGATCCTCAGAGCAGCGACCTTTACTCCTGTCATGTGGAGCACGGCGGTGTCCACGTGGTTCTTCAGGGTTCCCAGGGTAGAGACGGGGTTGTGGCTGTCTGGGGAGTGAGACTGAGGAAAGGGGGTGAGCAGGAAGCATGGATCACTGCGCGCTTTAGAATGGGTCTGTTCAATCAGAGGTTCTCTCACTTTTTGGTCTCAAGCCTCCTTTATACTCTTAAAAAAATTATTGAGTAACCCAAAGAGCTTTTGTTTATTTAGGTTATATCTGTTTCTATTTACTGTACTACAAACTAAAAATTAAAAAAAAATTAAACACTAGAAAACACAAGCACATATTCCATTTGCTATCAGAGTGATGATGTCATTTCATATCATGTGGCCTCTAGAAAACTCCACCGTGCCCATGTGAGAGATGGAGGTTTAAAAAAAGCCGGGGGGGAGATCATGAATTAGATCTCATGGACACCTTGATTGGGTCTTGAGGACCCTTGGGGCATTCGGACCATACTTTGGGAGCTGCTGTTCCTCTGTTTTAGGCTATTCTCCACAGAGCTGTGAAGTAAGAAGTGACAGTACGAAAAATAGTGTCGGGCTTCCTGATGATTGCAGGTACAAAAGTTCCCAAACGTTAACACAGAAGAGGAGGAGTACTTGTGGATTTTCCCTCATTTGCTTTGCTTTTAGAATCAGAAACTATGCTTCTGGCAATGAAAGCTGTTGGGTTCATTGTCCCCACCACTGTCCTGTCTGGAGTTGGTGTCGTAGCCTGGCAAAGGAAGCCCTGAGGTGAGAGGCCTGTGGAAGGATCCTAGGAGTTGGCAGACTGTCTCTCCACAGCTCCAATGAGTTTTATTTTCTGCACCTGCCACTCTAAGCTCCATTTAGAAATGGGTTGGGCCTCACTTTGCAATCACAGGCCCTAGAACACCCCTCTCACCATATAGGGAACACACACCATGGATGATGCTTGTAAGGAGACTGGTCTGTTCCATAGGCGGTGCCTGACATCGACAAAGTAGCACAGCTCCTGTCCAGGTGGACAGTCCTCCTAGAAGTTGGGTCAGAGAAGATACAGTGACATTGGTTTGTCTTTTTCCAAGTGATATTGTTATGATTAATTACTATCAACTTTTGAGGGAATTTTGTCCTTGGTTTCAAAACTTCCGTAAGTTTTCCCATTTTGACAAACATTATTCTGCTTCAATCATATGGAAGTCACTTTTCTTCTAAACTCATCTTTCAACCCATGAAACGTGGAAGAGATACCTTTGGAAAATGGAATTCAGGGTAAGAAAAAGGGGAAGGAGAAATGGGAGAGATATAGGCTCTTAGTACCTTGGGGAAAAAACTTCATTCGTTCAGTAAACATGTCTTAAATGCCTACCATGTTCTAAGCACTGTATTAAATGCTGGGATGTAGCAATGCAGAAGACAGACATGATCCCTCTTAGAGAGCTTACAGTCTAGTTTTGTAAGGTCATTCCCCACCTCTGGCCTCACTAGGTGCTCAAGTTGATCACAGCATAATATTGATGAGTCCTGGATAATGGGTTTGAAGCCAGTGTGGGCCAGGAATTTGGCTTTGTTTCATAGCCACAGACTTAAACCTCGATTCAGGTGATACCATGCAAAGCATGTTATTAGTTCAAAGTAAAACCAACCCTCTACTAGAAAATTAACTCAGAGTTAATGAGCCATTATGTTTTCTTTAGAAAGTATAGCACCAATCCCAATCCAGCAAGTGATAGCTGCTGAAGCAAAAAAAAAAATTTTTTTTCTTTTTATACAGTGACACACCTCTCTCAAGAACGATACGCACCGTGTGTTCCTGCTTTTTATCTTGCGGAGTTTGTGAATTTGAGTTAAAGTTTGTCAAGTACTAAGAGAATCTTGACCAAGTAGACTAAAAATGTCAATGCCAGCTTCTCAGTCTTTGCTGAACATTGCATAATTTATTTTTGAGCTGTAAGGAAAAATGCACATATCTGACTAAAAACTTTTCCTTTCAGAGCAAAATGGAGTTGTCTACCTTCCTACACCAGATCACTGACGGGAGATGGCTATTTTCCAGCTGTCTTTCCTCTAGGAACCATGGTCTCCTCTGTCCCATATGGACTCCAAGTCCAGCACTCAAAGCTCTTGACCACACCCACAACAGACATGGACATTATAGGATTAATTATTTATGGCAGACAGATAGGAGCTACAAAATGTTATTTGTTCTTTGGCTCCAAAAAGACTATCAGCTATCAGGCTCTTTGGATGGACTCCTTCATTACATTTCCCCTAAATGTGGCTGCTCTCATGGCACAACACTTCTTTACGTCCCATTTGTCAACAATGGTTTGCGGGTAGGTTAGAGAATCTCAGGGCTGGGAGAAAACTTCAATCCAGGGCCGGAAATGTCTTCTCCAATGCCTTTGCCTTGAGCATCTAGCCTCCGCTTGAATTCCACCAGTGAACGTCACCTCACTACGTCACAAAAGGCCTTTCTCTTCTTTCATGAGAGTGTTGACTAGGCAAAAGCGGTGGGTGCCATGACTGTGACCCTACAGACAGGTTGGACCACCCCGTGAGAGCAGTCAGCCAGTCTCTACAATGGCCTGTGCACTGGTGGGATCATTTTACACCTTCCCTGGCCTGAGAGAAAGCAAAAGTGCCCTGTTCTTTTGCCAGGCAGCTCTGCCTGGTAGCTTGGCATCTTGGAAATATACCTGGTCAGATTTGTGGAGGTGATTTCATTCTGTCTTTTGTAAGAAAGTAAGTAAAATAAGTATCGGACATTATCACCTTTAGTAGAAATACAGAGACTTGAACCCAATTGCTATCTTTTAATGTAAAAATGATAGTGTGTCTCAGAAGAGCATCCAGTTCTAAGTTCTGTCCTTCCTCTACTGGCTTATTGTAGATGGGCCCAACTCATCTTTATACATGTGCTTTTTCTCCGTACATCTGCCCTGGGAATACATAAAAGCCCCACTGTGAGAATTAACATCCCCTTGATCCTCCTTACTCTTCCCAACCGCCTAAAATCCTCACCATCATTTACCTCTTGTCCTGCCCTCTGTAGCCACCGGTCCTTGGGTTGACCATCAGTTATACATTCATCTGTCCCACTTCACTGACTCTGTCTGACCGGACACGTCGGCTCTGATACTCGCTTCAGTGGCCCCAACTTTGACAACTGACTTTGAACATGTATGTCAGACTTGACCTTTGCTTTCCCTTGACCAATGCATTTGCCCTCTGGCTTTAATCATCACAGCCACAGGTACAGACCCTCTCAGCGTGCTAGGGCTATTCCTTGCTCCACTGTCCCCACCTCCTTCCATGGTTGAAGCTCCCACCCCGTGTCTCTTTGCTGGTGCCCGCTGAGTTGCATAAAAGAACAACTGTGTTTGTTTATTTTGCTTTTAGGGTTGCCATGGGCAATTGCCATACCATCTTTTAAGCAGTGTTGCACTGTGAGGAGAGCAGCTTTATTTCTGGAATGGTTTCTTCTTACAATTAGAATAGTTAGGACTTAAAATATTTTTGGATGGACCCTTACAGTGATTCAGATGTTGTATCTATATAAATGTCTTCTCCAACTGCCTGGTACTCTCATCAAACACATGAATGGTCAAAGCCTTTTTTGTGCTCCCAGGGCCTTGCCCTACACTTGTCCACATGGATGAAGAGGAGGAGGCAGAGGCAAGGGCAAGGATGTGGTGATGAGACCTTCTGTAGTGCAATTGCAGCATCTCTGTTTCTCCCTCGGGGATTTTATAAAGAGAGTTATCATATAAATATAATATAAAGGGATGATTTTTCAATAATATGAACAATTTTGCACCTTCATTTTACAAGTAGCTCAAGATTACATTATTTCTTAATAATTTTAGACTTATTGCTTCATTAACTTGTGTTTGTTGCTTACAGATGCTTGGTAATTGGAAACTATGAAATATTTGATAATGTAATCTAAACATTAAAAACAAAGGGCTGTGCTATCCCCACAGCCATGTTTTGACTTTGGATTGTCTTTACTTAATATTTGGATGAAGAACACTGGATGAGAAATCTGTTCAACTCTCTTCTTCATCATATTTTTTTTTAACTCTATTGTCTATTTTCTTTTTAAGCACACACAGACCAAACTATAGTCTATTTAAATGGCAGTGTAACAGGGAGGGAAGAAAAGCAGTTTGAAGAGCAGGGTGAAAGTCAGGCAAAGTTTTCCTGGACCAGGCTCCTCTGTTGTAGGGGTGAGCTGTCCCATCGGAGGGCTGGCCTTCTCTGCCTCTTCCACTATTTTCAAGTTCTTCTGGGCCGTTCCTTATTTCTGAGGAACCATGTACTTGGTTTTTCCTCTTCTACTTTTTTTTTTTTTTAATAAATTTATTTATTTATTTTTGGCTGCGTTGGGTCTTTGTTGCCGCGAACAGCGGCTACTCTTCATTGCGGTGCACGGGCTTCTCATTGCAGTGGCTTCTCTTGTTGTGGAGCACAGGCTCTAGGTGTGCGGGCTTCAGTAGTTGTGGCACATGGGCTCAGTAGTTGTGCCTCGCAGGCTCAGTAGCTGCGGCGCACGGGCTTAGTTGCTCTGCGGCATGTGGGATCTTCCCGGACCAGGGCTCAAACCCACGTCCCCTGCACTGGCAGGCGGATTCTTAACCACTGTGCCACCAGGGGAGCCCTTCTGTCTACTTTTGACCTAAGAGGAGATTGTTCTCACAGTTGTGGCCATGAGGAATAGTCGTCCACTAGGGAAGCCAGTTGATCATTTTCTGGCAGGGTCCCTCTGAGAGGCCACACCTTATTTTGATTGCCCATGTCTGGAGTCTTTGCCTTAACATGTGCAGGTCAAGCATCCCCATGGGTGCATAAACTGGAGCGCCAATGTATTCATTTACTGTGAGAAGCACAATTGCCAAGTGGGTCAGATATTTGTCTCAGCTGGTCAGTACATCTTCCAGCAGCAGAGTCTACGTGAGAACAACTAATCACAGGCAGAGCTGTGTGTGGTGGTTCCACAACTGGTGCATGGGTTGGGGTGGCGGTGTGGGACAATTCTTGCTCTTTAGCTCCCCCTTTCCAGGATTAGCTGTTCTTTCACACACTATTCATTCACGAAACATTCTCCAGGGAGAGTGGGCAGCAGCGCTGGAGGGGTTCAGGGTCGCTTGTGTCCCAGCCCAGGTGTTTTCCACTTGACTGCACTGCCGTTCTCAGAGGAAGAGTCTCCACTGCCCTTCCTGAAATGTCTTCACCACCTCTCTTCCTTTGGACATTTGCCATCTTTTAGCCTTTGATCTCACTGTAACATCTCTACATCTCTCTTTCACTCTGGGCTCCCTCTCTCCAAAGTCCTTTTATCTTCTGGTTGTCCCAAACCCTGCAGGCTGTGTAACAAATCTCAAACCCTGGTGGTTTAAAACAACAACAATCGCTTTATTATCTTTCGTAGTTTCTGTGGGTTGGGGATTTGGGTAGGGCTTGGTTAGGCAGTTCTGGCTTGGGGTTTCAAGTCAAATAGTGGCTGGAATTAAAACAGTGCAGTACTGGAGGAGCTAGGGGTGGGGGGTGGTCAGGCATCTCTCTCTGTGTGGAGACTTGGGGGCTCTCCATGTGGTCTCTTTGTGTGGGTTAGATTGGGCTTCCTCACAGCATGGTGGCCTCAGCGCAGCAAGACCGCTTACATGGCAGCTAACTTCCCTCAGAGCAAGTATCCCAAGAGATCAGGGCAGAAGTGCATAGCATTCCTCTGACCTAGCCTTGGAAGTCACATAATGTCACCTTTGCCCTACTCTAAGTAGTCAAAGAAATCACAAAATCCTGTTCAGGTTCAAGGGGCGGGTACAAAGATCCCAACACTCAATGGGAAGATTGTCAAAGTCACGTTGTGAGAAGAACATGTGGGTGGGAGGTACTGTTGCGGCCATTTTTGGAAAGATAGAACCTGTCACAAGTGCCATGCCCCACCATCTGCTCCCCATTCCACCTTGTATTAGTGTCCTAGGGCTGCTGTAACAACGTACTGCAAACTGGGTGGCTTCTAGAACAACAAAAAGTTTTCATCTCACTGTTCTGGAGACCAGAAGTCCAAAATCAAGGTGTTGGCAGAGCTGTGCTCCCTCTGAAGGCTCTAGGGAAATATCTGTCCCAGGCTTCTCTCCTAGCTTCTGGTAGTTCCTTGGTTCGTGGCTGTATAACTCCAGTCTTCAGATGGTGTTCCCTTGTGTGTGTGTCTCTGTGTCCAATTTCCCTTTTTATAAGGACGCCAGTCATACTGGATTAGGGGTCCATGCTACTCCAGTAGGACCTCATCTTAACTGACTACATCTGCAACTACTCTATTTCCAAATAAGGCCACATTCTTACGTACTGGGGTTAGGACTTAAACTGGGGGTGTACACAATTCAACCCATAGCACACCTGTACCAAACCTCTGCAGGCTCCCCTCAATCCAGCAAAAGCTCCTTTTGCTCCAGGGAATCAGCTAGCACTTAGGAAATCAAACTAATTAAATGAATTCTCCCTATAGTGAGATTGACTAGTAATCAGTCCACCTTACCTTAACTCTCCATGAGAAGAGTTAGGTCAAATGAATCTGGCGGAATTTTCGATGGTTCTGGGGGAATTGGGGCGACAGCAATCCTTTCTTTAAATCACACCACTTGGTTTTCTTCCATTTATAAGGCTCATCTCCCAACCTCTGCAGGACAAGGAAAGGTATTCTCGACCTCCAACTTTTAGCCCAGATGGTGAAGGCAGTTGCTCATTGATCTACTTGCCCAACAGCTCCTCCTCTAGAGCCTGAGGCTTCTCGCTGTCTTTGATTCTCATAAGAAGGTCACATTCTGCCAGAGGGGGGATGCTTGTGTCTTTCAGTAGGTTAAATATGCATTCAGACCCCTGGACATAAGATTTCTGGAAACACTCAGACCGTGGGCACCCCCTGCTGAGGAAGAAACCCAAACTGTGACTCCAGAGGAACTCACCAAGCTTTCACTGAGGCATCCTTCTCCTTCTCTCTTGCTTCCCCGTAGTTGGCTTGACTGAGTAAAAAGAACACCAAATACCGCCACATACATGAGTGACTTACCGTGTAGCTAGACAGACGCCATATCTGCCATTAAATGTATCTTTGTTGTAAATCTTGTTTGATTACAACACTAAACTCTGCCCATTTATTCTATTTCTGTGGGTTAGAACCGCAGCTAACCCATAAGGGATATTTGTGCAAATTAGAAAATTGTTCCCTTCCTCTGGGTGGACGCTGACTAAGGCCGGGTCGCAGGGCTTAGCCAGCAGAACATAGAGTGGATTTCTACCCTGTCTGCCCCCTTGGTGGGGTGTCCTTGTACAGAGCACAACTTTACATGACAGCTCTGGTCCTACCATTAGAAAATGGATGGATGGGGCTTCCCTGGTGGCGCAGTGGTTGAGAGTCCGCCTAACGATGCAGGGGACACGGGTTCGTGCCCCGGTCTGGGAAGATCCCACATGCCGCAGAGTGGCTGGGCCCGTGACCCATGGCCGCTGAGCCTGCGCGTCCAGAGCCTGTGCTCCGCAACGGGAGAGGCCACAACAGTGAGAGGCCCGCGTACTGCAAAAAAAAAAAGAAAATGGATGGAAATTGGCTGTAGACTAAGATGAATGAATTAGTTTGGAAGAGAGGGGTAATGATGGAAAAATACAGGTCAAGTCATTCAAAATGGTAGAATTAGAAGCCCTGTATGTGGATACAAACAGCTAAAATTATCTGAAAGGTTTTACATAATCCTATCATCGAATTTATTTATGGCGATCTATTTTTAAATTTCTATGTCATATTAGACAGTCTGTTTGCACAATGCCTTGTATGTAGTAGGAGCTCAGTAAATACTTCTTGAATGAACCAGTACAGTATTTTAATTAGCTAGTCCTCATGTACTGGTGCAAAAGAACAGTGTCATCTTACAGCTGAAGTCATAGAGGGGAAATATCCCACTCAGGATTGTATGACATCCGAGGGGCCCAGGATGAACACTCCAAGGATTCATCTGAATTCTTCAGAGGTTTCATCAGCGTTAACATTCTTTATTTCATACTTTACCTTGTTTATTGCCTTGTCTGTGAGCTTAGGGATCCCAAACATTCTAACCGCACTCCTCCTCCCTGACACACATATTAGGGACAAGGACAGATTTCAGAGGTTCTTACATGAGGCACCTTTTTCTGGAAGGCTTTGAGAAGAGGCACTGAGAAATGAGTTCTCAACCATCTTGGGGGCCCAAATATCAGATACTTAATATATATCTTTTTATTCTTAAGGCCAGTAGAGCTGTTATATAATCTGAATTTTCTTTTCTATCATCACTTGGGTATTTAGCTAATGAAAGTTCTTGGGAATTCCCTGGCAGTCCAGTGGTTAGTACTCGGTACTTCCACTGCAGAAGGCTCGGGTTTGATCCCTGGTTGGGGAAATAAGATCCCACAAGCCACGTGGCACAGCCAAAAAAGAGAGAGAGAGAGTTCTTGAAATACAAATCCTATCAGTTCTTACCCATGACCTATGAAGTATAGGAAAGTGCTTGTTCTAAGGAGAATTGATCATGTATTTGTTCTCCTTTCCCCCTTCCTCCCATTCAGTGTTAGTTGAACCCAACAGAAGCTTCTGCATTTGTTCCTTGGTGTGGGTTGGGTGTGAGAGAATGTTTGGGACCAGAAGGTCCTGAGTCGGTTGGAGCTGGACAGTTGGAGTGAGCAGCTGAGGGGCAGCTGGAAGGCTGGGTTGGCCTGGAGCCCTGGCAAGCCGAGGCCGGGGCTGAGGCAAGTGCCGTGGCAGCAGCCAGACCTGCGAAGAAGCAAAACAGGGGCCAGAGAGTGGCAACAACTAAGGAGAAAAACAACTTCTGAGAAAATAGCTTCTTTTTTTTTTTAATTTAATTTAATTTTTTTATACAGCAGGTTCTTATTAGTTATCTATTTTACACATATTAGTGTATATATGTCTATCCCAATCTCCCAATTCATCCAACTACCATCACCCCACCCCCGCTGCTTTCCCCCCTTGGTATCCACACGGTAGTTCTCTACAACTGTGTCTTTATTTCTGCCTTGCAAACCGATTCATCTGTACCATTTTTCTAGATTCCACATATATGCATTAATATACGATATTTGTTTTCTGAGAAAATAGCTTCTTAAATGGAAAAGAAATTCAGAGAACAGGAGGCTCCGAATGAAATGGGAAGCCACTAGAATGGAAAAGGAAGTGAAACCAAGGGAAAAATGAGATGTTTAACCCCAAGCTAAAGCAGTCTTTGCCTTTTTCCCTTTTTGAAGAATCAGGGTGGATTCTAAGGTGAATTTGTTAGCTGAACTAAGTAAAAGCTCTCTATTTTTTTAAAGCAACATGACAGGAGCCTAAATAGA